CGCAATGTGAATAGTAACATAACAACCATCAGATCGATGTGATATGTTGACACAATTAATGCATATAATTTTGAATTGTCACATGTACACCTCATTCCACGTACTGGAAATTCAATAGTGTTTCAGCCGAGATAAATAACGTTAGATGATAGTTATGTTCCAAAAATGGGATTTCATTTTGAATCCTGTCATGCGCAAAAATTATAATACGGTAAATAATATAAGACCATATGATATATTAACAGAATGAATGTGGAAAATTTTGAGTAGCCTTATGTAAACTTCATTCCAAGTACCGGAACACCATAATATTTCAGGCTCGATAAAGAATATTAGATGATATTTGTGTAAAAAAAATCGGGTTCATTGTGAACTTGGCAAGTCGTTGAATAACATAAGACTGTAAAGTCAATATGATACACTGACAGAATAAATTAGGAAATCTTTGAACTGTTATACGTGAACTTCATTTCACGTATCGGAACACCATAATATTTCAGGCTAGGTAAATAATATTAGATTTTGTACCAAAAAGTCGTTTCATTGTAAACCCCGAGATGCGTAAAGTATTATAAGGCCACAAAACAGAAATGATATACCTACAGAATGAATGTCGAAAACTTTGAATTGTCATATGTAAACCTCATACCACGTAACAGAACTTCGTAATTTTTCAGGCCCGATAATTGATATTAGATGATATTTATGTAAACAAAGATGCTGTTTATTGTGAACCCCGAGTTGCATAATATAGTATAAGATCTTGAACTCGTTATATCGATATTTTGACAGAATTTATTTGGAAAGTTTGGAATGGTCATATGTAAATCTCATTCCTTGTATTGTATATTTCGGGATACATAAAAACGACCTTATTACAAGAATTAATGTTTTCCTCGGAGACATTCGGCCCCAGGGATAGTATAATAAACGCTTACACAGCTGCCGTTAGGGGAAAACAATACATTTTGCAAATTGCGGAGCTGCGTGAGACGCGTACACACACTTATTTGCCCGAAGGCCACATTACACGCGGAATAAGAAAATTATAGTGCCGGTGGCATTACGCGCGCTGCAATATTATACATATCGACAAGCATTTACACTTACACGCGACGAGTACACGGTGGCGTATACCGTAGAGAAATAACAAAAAACGTGCAAATGAGCCAGCTTCTGAAAAAAGTAAAAATAAAAAAGACGAAGAAGATAGAAAATTTCGGTACGCATTCCATGACTCGACTTAGTGAAAGCGACGTACTTGCCCGATGACTAGCGAACGACACTCGGTAATGATCGTGGCGGCTCGGACATCGACATCGCTCGAGCAGGCTACGATCGTGCCCTGTCTAGTTTGAACGTGGCCCTCGGTGGTGAGGTGTGTTAAACGCACATAAGATAGAATTGGCCCCAGCCATCGGCTTCGCGCGAACGCAGAGTAACAGAGGGATTCACTATGTAAAAAACCCAGTGCATGCTTTTAAGGGAGACGAACACATTCCAGCGAGGACAATAGTCGCACGTTTTACTGCGTGAGAGTCCGGTAGCGGCCTTACCTGCTGCCAAAGGCTTCGCCATGGAGAGGGAAAGAGATGCCGTTGCCGATGACGGCTGACAACGGATGGCATTGACGATGGCCGGTCCATGGTCCCCGTGCTCGTGGCCGAAGATGTCGAAATTGCTCCTCTTGACGGGCCAATAGATGGCCCGCTACCAAGTGTGATGATGATCAGGACTATTCC